GGAATCAGCTAATAATTCAGATTTACTTTGATTAGTTATAGCTCTTCTAGATTTATCTGATAAAGTAGCAACACAAGGTTGGCTAGAGAGTCTTGAATTAAGAATTGAATAAAAAGCTTTAGCGCCACCTTTAGATAATAGTTTCTTCTCGACATAGGTGTAATACTTATTAAGCTTTTTTGTAAACCTTTTATCGAATGACTGATAGATTTGCCAATCCAATGATGTCTGAGAATCAATAGCTGAATTCCAGAGACGATCCCTTCTTTTAGACATAGAAGAAAGGTATCGAGGAAGTTTGGACACCTGTCGAGAGTGTCTTCTATAAGGAATGAAAAGGTCCATGGCATGATGCAAGACCGCTAAAAATATCTCATACTTACATACTAAAACTTATTATAAAAAGCCATTTTGTGTTTTTGGGTAAAATTGTGCGTTAGTCGAACGGTTACGCTAGCCTTCCTTTGCTTGTTACTCAGAAAATTTTGAACTTGTTAAGATGGTCATTTGTATATATCATGATAGCCAGGGCAATATTTGTACAGGCTCATCCACCACCACAATACCTTCCTCAAGATGGTGCTGTTATGGGCCCACATCACCAATCCGGACCTGGTGTATTCGGTATGTTTGATGAAATGTTTGTGAAAACTTACCCTATGGTTTTGTGTAATGTTGATGTTTCCTCTTGAAAGTTTGCTGTGTTTTGAAGGGTATCATTTGCAGGGCCGTGTGATGGCAATTTCGATAAAGAAAAGGTGCCGTTTCGTTTCTTTCATCATCTTTCAATTCGTAGCTTCTTTATAATTCATAGAGATACATTTTCAGGTCACATATGATGGACCCACATCATTTCATCGCGGTATGCGCTATGAAAACGACTCTTCTATGATGGGCGGTGAACCAATTATGTTTAATAGGGTATGCTTGAATTTTTGTTGCTTCAGTGCTTGAGGTGTTTTATCGGAGTGTGACTATTCCTTCCCCACCAACATTTTATGAGACCAGGGACGGTGTTGAGGTAAGAGGCGCAGGATCATTTCTATCCGAACTGGGGTCATGTCTTAAAGGTGTAATACCATGGGTTAGGTAAGCCTAAAAAATTAGCCTTATAGTTAAATGAAATTCGAACTGCTGTAGGCTATATTTTCATGTTTTGGGAAAAATCGACTCCTTGAAGCCGACCTCAAAGAGAACAAAAGCGGTCTAAACAGACTGGAATTGATCAAAATTTGCAAGGTTGATCAAAATATTCCAAAAATGCAAAAGTATCGTTACAGGGACAACCCATGATGAGCAGTCAGAATCACCAAATGCGTTATGATGACTCCAGTTCGTCACGAATAATGCATCCACCAACTTCAGTTTCCAACCATCAAGGAAATTCCAGCGGCAACAACTATTCAAATATGGGATACTATGGTAAGGTTATCAGCTTGCAACTACCAAAATATGTAGTGCATTTGTTCTGTCTCCCCATAAGAATTGATTATTTGTTTGGCATTGCTCTGGGAATGAAACACACCAATTCATCATATAATGTAATTCATCAGGTATGGGAGGTGGTGG